CTGGGCTGTAGATATTAAATTCATCAGTTTAGGGTTTGAAACGCTGGTCGTCTGTTTCTTCTGTGATTCTGTGGTCATGTCCATGTGATTAGTTAAGCCTTCATGTTCTCTGCAGGTGGTGGAGACTGTGGAGAGGCCAGAGGTGTGTGGGGAGAAAGTCTTCAGTCAAACTACAAAGACGTTGCTTCAAAGGTACCAGCAGTCCACCACTAATGAGCGATCATAATGACTGAGCTGCACTCACCATAACAGCATTATGTGCAAATATGTGTTCTGGCTATGTTTTACATTTGAGGTATGAACCAAACTGTGGCTCAAAAATCAAGTTCTGTGAATTTGGATAATGAATCCCCCGAAGTCAATTTTTGCCTGACAATGTTCTTAAAACAGGATTCTAGCACAGCAGCAGCTTGGAAATGACTGCTGGTTAATGGAATATAAATAAGCCAAGCAGTGGGCAAGTGTTGCAGACGAAGGCACTTGTGATCTTGTCGTCCAGCACCCATGTTGTCTAATTAGCAAATCCACATGTTCTCATCTGAGAACCTATGGGTGTCTGTGTCTTTCAATGAGAGGTGTCCAGGCGCATCATTGGCACATTGTTATCTTATTGCGGTGGAAAACAGTTCACCGTTACATGTGGCAACCTTTTAATGTATTGTTATTTAAAGTGCACTTCATCAAGTTAAAATTATTAACCTATAGAAGCAGCTGCACAACACAACTCTCCTGGTTACACACAGATGATCTGCTCATGTGCAAAGACAAACTGTTCCCTCTGCAGGGAAGCGTCCTCTCTTTCTACTTTGATTATACTGATTATTAAGAAACTAAGTACAAACCTTTGATGCATCTGGTGTAGCAATCTGCCACTCCCCAGCTAAAATGTATTTAGAGGGGCCGCCACTTCGTCTAAAAGTCAAGTCTACGGCGTAGATCTTAAATCTATCCCACAAGCTGCATTCTCTCCTGCTTTGGTGTAGTGAGTGTCTGCTCAGGACGGCTTAGTCTGCCAGTGTCCTTCATTTTCATAGCAGAACAATGTAACTTTACTGACTGACTCTACTTATATGGTAAGAGAGCATGCAGTTGGTGATCGCCCTCTGCTGGATCTCAAGGCACACTACTTCAGGCAGTCTGATGCACTTTGAGACTGTATATTTTCAAATCAAACAGGTCATTTCAGTTAGAATATAAACTCTGCCCCCACGTTCGGATGAATGTTGGAATTTCAAATAAAAGATGAAAGCCCCAGTATTTGGTCACGTTGTAAATACACGCACCATACAATTTTATTGTTAAAATATTAGTTTTAAAGAGACATGTTTCAGTCTTCCTTTGAGTAACAATACAAACAGAAACACTTGATAGTTTGAAACCAGCTGGCACTAGGCAGAATGCAAATATATATGATATCTTAAATATGACAATTAGCATATGACATCATCCAGTAGCGTTTTGTGCAGGATTTTGCTACTTTCCATTGAAAGAAGTTTGCTGTGTTTCCACATCAGTTTTCAACCAGTCCTCACATTAACTAAACACAGTCACTGGTGAAGGATGGAATAGGGAGAAATGTGTCTTCTCCAATGTGTCTAGATTCTTGTGAAGAAGAATCTTCACCCACAAAATTGCATGTTATCACGCAGCCCCTGTGAGCCTTCATCCCCCATGTTTAACAATGTACAGTCTTTAAATCTCATTGAGAAAAACAGGTCTGAAAGAGGAAATGTTTCTGAGTTTGAGCTGGTGTCAATATTTCATGGCCTGTGAACCAAAACGCTTGTGATTTGTGTGTCAGCCTGAGGCCACGTCCACACTAAAATGTTTCCATTTTAAAATAAAGCTCTCTGTATAGATAAGTGATAGAAATGAACTTCCATACAAACACATCTGGAAAAAAATATTCCACGACCATTCATGTGAACTGTCTGCCCAATCTGCAGTTGGTTGCCTTGTTGCAGAAAACATTATGAACGAGGAGCAGTGTGGTGAAAAGTAACTGCAGGACCATCTTTTCTTAGACAAATGAAAAGGTGGAAATGTTACCAAGACACAACTGACAGCATTTGTGACGCTGGTAATACATTATCTATGTTGCATTCACCACAAGTGAACGAGTCGCGACTGATAAGATCCATCGGGAAGCAAGCGTCTGTGTTATCATTTCTGAAGTAGCCTGACATCATTCGAACCCTGCGATGAACAAATGGCAGCAGAACTAAAAATGACGGCGTAGGTACGGCGTCGACGCGACGCAGAAGCATAAACTAGGCTTTAGAGGCAACGGGTATACAGAGTGTGAATGAACCAGTGTAAAGCTGTATTGTGTGTGTCTCTTTTCTGTCTCTGTCCAGATTGCCTAACACGATGGCCCAGAACCTGTCGGTCCCTCTGGCATTTGTTGCTCTGCTTCATCTTGCTAATGAAAAGGTGAGTGTTTACAATTTAATTATTAAGCATTACTTTTTATACAGTTGTATACATTGTGTATCTGTAACACTGTTTTTCTTCTTTTAGAAGTTTACGAAAAATTTGGAGTAATTGTTAAATATTGTGAGAAAATTCACTGTTTTACTTGCTTGGAGAGAGAACATTGAAAACGTTCCTTTATCGATCATCATTCTATCCATCCGTTTGTCTATTTTTTAAATCTTATATCTTTCTGTTAATATTTCAAAAGAAGTTTGATACATGTTGTATTAATTATAAATCCCATTTGATAGTTGACTGGATAGTTTGTCGCTCTAATTTAATACGGAACAGAGACCTGTATGTGTGCACTTATTCATGTGTTATTCATGTAGCTATGTACATGTCTTACAAGTATTAAGTACTATATGGGGTTTGTTTTTCTGTCTTTAACAGAATTTGGAGTTGGTGAAGGTTGATGACATGTCGGACATCATCATCAAACAAGGCCACTGAGAAGAAATGAATCATGGGATGTTTTATGGAGAATCGCTGCTATTTATTTGTGCCATTCTCCACTTAACCATCTCTTTTTACTCTGTGTAATATCTGATGTTTCTCTCTGATGCTATTCTGTTTAGATATTCTGTTTTTATTCATTTTCTATCATTGAACAAACTATTCAAAAATTGAGTCGTCCTTTAAAGATCCTTCTTTCCTTTTATTCTTGTGCTATCGATGCTTTGTGTAGATAATTTAACTGTTTAACTTCTGCACAAAAAATGTATATTGTCAAAAGAAATAAAGCCCTTTTCTTATAATGTCCTGTTGAGGTATATTGCAAACTCTGGGGCTTTTTTCTACACTGCTTATTTAAAGGTCTATAACTGTAAGAAACATTTTACAAATGTTAGGGAAGAGTTAATCTCAATCCCAATTGTAACTCTCAATCTTTGTGTGTGTTCAGTCCTGAAAAGGGCCACAGACACCAGCTTCTTTCTTTTTTTTCAGATGACTAATGAAGAGGTTTTCAACAAGACAAAAACATACCAACCCTACCTCTAAAATATTCCTTTACACAGTTATGAATTTGATTACACACACACACACACTTCATTTGAGATGTAAACACATCTTCACATATATTTATGAATGGTTTTGTCTCCATACATTTTACCAAGAATGCAGTGAACAGTTCTTTTACCAAGCTGGACCTCTTTTTGGAATGGGACAGCCCTGGATTATTTTTAGCTGCTCATGATTCAGTAGCCTGCAGCAGTAGTCTGAAACGACAGCAGTTAATCGGTGTTTCATCCTCTCAAGGTTGAGGTGAAACCGGTTGGTCGGGCTGGTGCTGCTGGTTGGGTGGGACTAGGCTCAACATCATTACGTCAAGGAGCTGTGGGAAAGGGAGGAGTCAATGCCGAGAAACACATTGGAGTTCCAGAAGTTCAATGGTGATCTGAAGTTATATTTATTCTTTCAATGATTTATTCAGAAAACCAGGCGTCATTCGTGGTAGTCCTACATACTCGCAACAGTTTCTCATGTGGATCAGGACACTGAAACATCTTTATCTTATCAGATTCCATCTATGACACAGGACATTGCTGCTGATTTACAGATACTCAGTAATCGTGTTAAGGAATGAGCTGCAGAGCACAGACGGGGCCAAGATGTCACAATGTACACCAATACAACATGGTGAGAAATGATTCATGTTGAAATTACAGAGTGATTTGTTTAATTTACCTGTGATGAAAGGATAAGTCTTTGGTATAAAGGTGCATGATTAAACAAGTGGAAAAACCCCACAGATCCTTAACCTTGTAGAAGTTAAAAATACGAAGAGCTGAAAAAATAATCACATAACACTGAAGCAAAACCATCAAATGAAACAATAGTAGGAATCAAAATCTAGGCTCCCTGTGAATGAGTATAGTCTTAGTTTGGCTTTCTTGGCCTTCACCTTGTTTTTTGATCGTAACCACAGAAGATCACATAAAACCAACTTTTATATGTAATATACACAAGCACAGTACACAGGAAAACCCAGAATACACTCTGACAGAGTCTGAGAGGTGTACGTCAATAGTCCCTGAGTGTGCACACGGCCAGCTCACGATGGAAACACCTTGGTGTGATGCCATCCCCATTTTAAAAAGTACACTCACATCAAGTTGTTCTACAACTATAGCAGAAATTGAGATGATGCCTTCAAAATAAAAGCATACGATTCTCACAGAAACCGTGAATACGCATGAAATACAGACAATGCACCTACACACGGCTACAAAATGCATACAACATAATATGATCTTTCTTTGTTGAAATGTTTCATAACTCCCACTTTATGAGCAAAATTCAGGTCAGATCTTTCAAAAGTTTTATTTTCTCACTGTAGCCTTCAATGTATTGATATTGCGTCTTAAATACGGCTGACAATACAATTAAAACTTGCTCCTTAAAAGTGTTTCATTTTCATTTTCACCATGGGGCTTTTGAATTGTTGTTTTAATCTCTAAACACTGATGATTTCTTTAAAAAAGCCGCAGAAGGCTGTTTAATTGTGAAAAGGCGCTCAGGAAGCTGAGGCGGTGCTATAGTTGACTTGACAGTTGAAGCGACGGAATTCTGTCTGAAGGAATAAGGAACAACCAGGAAGTGAGACACAGCAGGAAACAAATTGACTGGGAGGACATTCAAACTTTCTCGTCCTCAAAAGACTTTTAAACCCAAGATTTTAATCTTCAGCGTCCGCTGGAAAGTGAGTGGACCTGTGCTCAGAGGACTTCGTCTGCAACAACATGGACATTGATGCGGTAGGTGATAATGGCTGAAGCTTGTTTGTGTTGTTCAGTAAGACTCCGCCGTCACCGTGTTGAACGAGCAGCAACAGGTGAATATCCGGAGAAAATCTTTATTTCATTTAAAGTTGTCAGGAGAGAGGTTTAGTCCGTGGATTCACTTTTCGTGGTGAAGCTCCGGAGTGTCTGAACAAAATGGCCTGATTACCTGACACCGTCTGAAACCTACAGTCTGGGACTGCTCCCTCCAGGACCCGAGCCTGACGCTCCGCCGCAGGGAACTACTTTACTCAGGTTCTGTTCCTCAAGTTCTAAAATGTCGGGTTCTCCACACATTGTCCTTTGCTGCTGAAAGAAGTAGAGACATTCTCCAGAGTTATCACCAGGGGGCTGCCCCGGAGACAGTCCGGAGCCTCTCATTCTGACATCTGCCTTCAATTACAACTCCTTCGGAAAGTATCAGGAGATTTCCGGAATTCAGTGCAGGTCTGAAAGCAGCTACAGAGATAACACCCTGGTGTAGTTCAACTAATGACATCTCCTTTGCTGTTACATTTCTCTCTCATGAGCCCTTCATATATTATCTAATATCTTTTATCCAACTCTATTTAAAGGGGAGAGTTCACTGAAAAATGAAAAGTCACTCATTATCTAATCTAACACTATGCCGATGGAGGGGTGGGTGAAGTGTTTGAGTCCACAAAACACTTCTGGAGTTTCAGGGGTAAACAGTGTTGCAGCCAAATCCAATACAATTGAAGTCACTGGTGAACAATTCTTTAAACGTGTCCAGTGAGAACTCAGGAGCTGCAGAACTCAGGAGCCGCAGCAGTAAGTAGGAGGATAACTGTGGACATTTAGGCTATAATCATGTAAATGACACTGTTGAGTTGGATTTGAATGTCGGGCCTGCAACACTGTTTACCCCGGAAACTCTAAAAATGTTTTGTGGACTCAAACACTTCATCCACCCCTCCATTGGCATAGTGGTGAGTAGATGATGAGTGACTTTTCTTTTTTGGGTGAACTATCCTTTTAAGTATAATCCCAGTTTATATATTGATAGCTGAACTTTGTCACACTCCTGTATTAGTGTTAACACTAAAGATAAACAAAAAGGAGAGTGCACTTAGAGAAGTTTTTTTTCATAAAGTAATGTTATTGAATGAAGTGCTGTTTTACTAAATGTTATTCTGAATTGGAAAGATGCTTCTGAAAAACATTCTTTATACTTAATTGTAGGGGAGCCATTAATGATACTTATAGCAGTCTGACAATATTAATGTATTTTGCGTGAATGGAGAGTGCAGCAAAATAAACATAATCACAACTAAAAAAACACACATGTACAGTTACATGTTGCATACCTACTCAGAACACAAAGAAATGAACAACATAAACAACACAACTCTTCAGGACTGAATTCTGTGATATTATCATTTCATCGTGACCTATAAACGTAATCCATTTATTCCATCATTTTAGATACTAAGTTCTTGATTTTCAACTATATAAGTGTTTTTTTTTTTCTATTTCTAGAACACTTCCTGTAGTTCACTGTAACTTATATTTAACATAAAACTGTCAAGTTTGAATTTGGAAGTCTTTATTGACTAGACCACTCCAAGCAGGACCTAAGGCCATTGAAAACATCACAGGACCTCCCAGGGTGTTTTATGAGGGAAATAAAAATTTTCTTATTATTATTAATGTTATTTTAGTCATGAGAGCTCCAGACATAGTACAAACCTATATTCACTTTCTCTCCTTCCGTGTTCTCAGCAATGTGACTTGTTTTTCCAACTTCAATGTACCACAGATCTTCACAGCCAGTTACAAAAAGTAACAAAAGCTTGTCCACTGAGGGTCATTGGGGGTCTAATGACTATCTGTTGGAGGCTATTGACATGAAACTGTTGCTCCCACTGAACAGTTTAAAAGCTGTGTCCTCTGTGGTTTTGAAACATCGACTTTCCTCTGAGCGAATCTCCAGACAAACCTTTGAACTCCAGCTATACTGACTCAGGCTATGCTGAGGTCAAGTGCTAAACCAACAAACATTGTTTTTCTGTAGCCTACAGCATTTATTAGTGGTGCTTTGATACAGCAGGAGATCTTTGCAATAGGAAAGTCTATTCAAACTTCAATGTGTGCATTCACAGATTGCGGCAAAGTCCCATTTGACTAGATTAGTAGGGAGTATTTTACATGGCCTACCAATTAAAATCATATCCGGCCACTACTTTTACAGCCCCACTCAAGCCTTTCCACAGGAACGATTAGTCACACTCACATTTTACAGAGCACCTCCTTACGATCATATGTAAACCCATAGTATCAGCTAAATATTTACTTTATCCTTTAATTGTATTGGTTGGCTGAAATGACTTTCCTGGCCGGGCTGAGACAGTTTTGGGTGAATTCCTCTACGTGTCTTACAACAGTTAATGTCTCTCAAAAGAATACTGTGTGTAGTCATCGGTGCATGAACTTCTTGTGCTTGGCATGTTTCTGTGAATATTGATACTTGATAGCTGTCAGCCATTCAACAGGCCTCAGTAAACTAGATCTGTTACAGGAGGAGAGTAAAGACACAGGAAAGAATTCAGAAATGTTTGTTACGCATAGCGTATGATACAGAGATTAAGAACACGAAAAGTTTTTAATTAAATGCAGTAACAAAATGCAGAGTACATGATCAAAAGCAGCTTTTTTCATCTTGTACACGGTAAAAGTGTTTTTTTGAGACAAGCCAACAGCACCAAAGGAAAATTAAAAAGTTGACCTTCTGAAGAATGAAGAGAATGAACAAGAGATCAGTTAAAGGGAGCAGGTAATGGACCAAATAAAGGGGGCGGGGTTAAAGAATGAAGGAAGAAACAGGGTGACAGGAGAGAGAGAGAGATGACGTAGCAACCTGCTCTGTTTCCTAGAGACTGTTTTGTTTACAGTCAGCTGCCTTTCTATGAAGCTTTGAGGTGACTGTATGTTTGTGACACACACACACACCACTATTAACAACATTTGTGCTTTGAATAAACCCTTGGCTTTATAAGATCACATCTTATCTTCGCGGTGAATGCAGACATGCTATAGCAGGGCGCTCCCACACACAAAACAATAGTGTGACAGCCTGTAGGCGGGGCTGTCACGTGCAGCAGCCTGAGGGACTGGACTCTCAAAGCCACCACCTGCTGCTGACAATACAAGACTTCAGCGAGAGACTTCGTCTCTAGATCCACTAAACAGATCAAATCAGCCAATGGGATAAAAAGTGGGAGGCCTAATGGTAAAACTGTTACAGAAGAAGAGGTTTAGAAGATGATGCCACTTTGGCCATTCTGCCTTTTTCATGAATGTGCCGGGCCTGTGCACAATGAGGAGGAGACAAGTTGGTAAAGCAAGGATAACATGACCCTGACTCTTGGTTCAGGTGAAAATCCCTCAGCACTCTATTCTGAACAAACTGGAATGTAACTGATGCAGTTCAAAACAACTGTTGATTCAACTCAATGATCATTTTGGAGGCTGAAGTTTGTGGTGTTGACAAGACAATACAGCTTCTCAACAACAACAACATCCTCATGTTCCATTCATTTAGAATCACTTGATACAAAGTCAAATACAATTTTTTTCAGCTCAATTCCACAGTGGCCTTTTTCACATTGATTAAAAAAACGAAAACATAGACTTTAGACATGTTTTCTACTTTGTTCTTTTCTGAAATGACTTTTCTGTCCAATGCAAGGAGCGGGTAGGAGTGGAGGTAGAACCAGAGCCTCAGGACAAGGTGCAGACATTGAAGGATCAGGTCGATGGGGTGAAAAACATCATGACGCAGAACGTGGACCGGATCCTGGCCCGAGGAGAGAGACTGGACGACCTCATGGGAAAGTCAGAGGACCTGCAGGCAGGGGTCAGTGTCACAGCAGGAGTTTATTCACTTGTCTGTTCCATGTAGCTGTCTCAGTAAAAGCCAGTGAGCCCATGATTCACTCATCTTACATTGCACTTTTTTTGCTTTATCATTATGAAGTGAATTGCACAATGTAATGGCTACATAACAACACCACCATCTGCATTGAGATCAGTTCCCCATAAGTGTAGTTTTCACACTGCAGTTGCATCTGCCAGTGGACATGAAATGGCTCATTTTATGACACAAAGGAAGTACATCTGCCACAGCTCGACCAAAACAGGAGGAGGATAACATCTTGTTTTTTTTTTCCCAGTAGCTACTGGAAGCTTTCTCCAGGTAGCAGAAATAACTGTGATACTGTAACTAGCAAAAAAAGCCGAAGAAGACGAGGACAGGTAGTGATGGAATATACTGTACCTCACTTGATGGAGAGATCAGTAGACACTAGATCAGTGAGAAAGAAAACCTCCCACTATTTATAAACAGGATGTTTGACTCTGTCTTAATATGAGTCATCAGCCCGCCACTGGAAACAGTGGTGATATATTGTCTGTCCCTTCATTTTCATATTAATAAAGAAGTTTTCAGGAATGAACTCCAGAGAAACAATCGGGTCTGGACTTTCTCCTGAGTTTGTCTTTCATGCAGCAGGAGACTCCCCCGTTTGACGCATTCACAACAACATACAGCAACATAGAAACCTCCATTCAGCATTCAGTTGATGGGAAGCGTAGCACGCAGGAGGCAGAACGTGACAAATAAATTCTGCTGTGGAGAACATGTCTGCCTTTATCTTTTCTACGTGTATGGCACTGCTTTTTCATCCTGAGATATTTGTATTCGTCTTCTTTGTTGCATGTAAAAATCGTCATCAACACATTATTCCCTCACGGTGAACCCTGCGGAGGGTCTCCTGCTCATTCAGTCACTCTGGAGAAGGTCCAGAGCCTCTCGCTCGGCCATTTGCCTTCTCACATACAGCTCTCTCTCTCTCTCTCTCTCTCAGGCTCAGCACTTCAAACAGACCTCTCATAAAGTGGCTCGCTCCTACTGGTGGAAGAACGTCAAGATGGTCGTGGTCATCGTGGTGGTCGTCCTCATCATCGTCCTCATCATCATCCTGCTGGCCACTGGAGTCATCCCCATTGGTACTCCAGTGCCTCCTGTGGTCAATCCCACCGAAAAGCCAAAATAAATACATGTTCATGCCTAAACAATGAATCTAAATCCTAAACGACAACATCCCTACTGTACAGTATACAAAGAGATATATAGATATCACTGTTGTCTGGTGAAACCTTTACTTCTTCTTAGTTTGTTTCTACTGGTAACTTTCATGATAATATTGGATTTCAAGGACTTCATTGGTTTAAGGCACTTTAATGACACAAACAAATGTCCAACCCAATACCAGCCATTGAACTTGTGTGAAATCTCTATAAGGTCTGGGGGCGTTCACTTGACACCAGAAAAAAAAAACACTTGTCACTGTTCTTAAAAGACGTTTCATAGCGTCGCTGTCACTGTCTCACCACCAGCAGTTATTTCCTCCTGGCAAAGAAGAAGTCACTTTAATATGTGTGGATGGAAATAACCAATCATTCTGTTTGTCACCTAAATGCACTACATAGGACAGTTAGTTAGTTGTATAGTTCAAAAGAGGAGAAATGCAGTGTATAGACGACATTTTTAAAATTGGAGGAATCTGTAACAATTTTAGGTCATGACTTATTTAATGGAATGTTGGATATTTATGTAAGTACATTCCTTTAAAATGCTTCCAGCTTCTTTGTATTCAGGCCTATAGAGAATTATTTAATGTAAAGCCTGCTTTGGTTCTTGAGCTACTTAACTGGTGTTTGCGATGTTTCTGCTCTGTCGATAGTTTTGCAGTCAAAGTTACGAAACTGTCTTCATGCACAAAAGCGACAGCTATAGTGGGTTAAACTTCACATAAGGGTGTCCGTTAAGGTTCTAAATACCAGCAGTGACTACGACACAGAGTCTGTAGAGTCTGTATCAAAGTGAAGAGAAGACCTACAGGTGAAAAGCAGCACTCCATTAGCATTTATGTTTGAGTGGTCCTTTAGAAGGGATTTATCCACGTAGGCTGTGCAGAATCATCAGTCTTTTCAAACTGATCGTTCTTTCCTTCACTGTGTCTTAACTCTAGAAATATAGTACTTGAACTGAGGCATTAGTTAGTTGAAAAGAAAAAAAACGAAAACATCTGTTGTGTTGTCAGTGGATCAGGCTCCTCCAGCCAGCCAGCCTTTCAGCTAGACAATTTACAGCACCTCCATGGCGCCCCCTGTTGGGTCCATGACAATTAAACAGGCCCTCAGTCAAAGCATCTTAAAATTAGAAAATTATATTTCAACACCTTCTGTGCATTTTTCAGAAAACAAGTTAGGCACATCTGTTTCTCACCGCTCATCCTGCTCTGCTGTTACAGAAACAGTTTACTTTCAAAGAAGTCCAAGTGATGCCCATTATGAGCTGTATATAGTCATAAATATCTTTGTATATGAAAGTATCTGTTCCTTAGAGGCTATTTATTAAAAGCATTGTCACTCATGTTCATTTTTTTTAAATCAAAATGGAAGCTGTATGTGATTATTGGATTAACAATTACTCCAGATTGATTAATTATAAAAGTAGCACAGTTCAGTTTCTCTGCTGTTGGATCATTTTCTAGATGTAGTTATGAAAAGGAGGCTCTCTTGGAACAAATTTCTCAATGTGTGCCTTTTCTTTCTTTGCCTTTTTTAACAGTGCCTCCAAGGTGCAGTAACCTACATCTCATTACCTTTTTAGCTCATACTGCTCTGATCAATGCATTGTCATGTGTCTGTTCATTCAAGCTTCACTTGCAGCAGGTCTTTTACTGTGGAAGGTTTTTTTACAATGTCATTAAATGAGGGTCTTATACTGGGGGCCCATGGCATTACATGATTTTAATGGTCTGAAATTAAATAAATGATATTTTCTCTGGCTCTCCTGTGATGCATTGCCCCTCCATTGCTGTTTTTTACTTTGCCACAAGATGGAGACATGGTCCGGCTGACATGAGACATGAGGCTGTAGTACCACCCAACTAAATGAAAATCAAATCTGATTATGTTTCACAATGTGTTTAATTGTTGTTAAAGGTTTGCTTCATTTTCAACACTGCTGAAGTGGATACAAGATATTTAAAAATATGGACATTTTGAATAGATAGATAGATTGATAGATACTTTATTGATCCCAAAGGAAATTCAATACAAACACTGCAATCACCTCTAAAGTATTAAAAACAATGATACAAATCAAAGCAGCAGGGCTTAGACCAAGATATTGCAAATATAATAATTCAATTGATATAATAAAGAGCCCATAACACCATATTGACCCAATAGATCACTTTACTCCCAAAACACAGGTTCTGCTGTCTAATATTCTGCAGGATCCAGACGAAAACAACTGTTAGTATCACAGTTGAGCCAGTTCAAAGTTCAGTTCATACAGATGAAAGAGAACTAGTTAGCATTCATTTATTCAGTTGTTTATTGGGATGATGTAGACTATAATAGAAATGTTTACTGTCTGCTATACCTTGTATGTAATTTTTTTTACTTGACCTTGTTAGAAGCAAGATATCAGCGGCCAAAAGGCCTGGTGCTGATGCATAGTGTGGGAGCTGGCAGAGGGATCCTGGATGAAAGGTTGGATCTGGATCTTGGTTCTAGACCAGTTTTACTGAGAGGCAGGCTGGGGCCAGTTGCTTTGTCAGAGGGGCACATTCAACCTGGGACAAAAGAGACAAAGACAGTGTTCAAGCTTTCAACATTTTCAGTTCAGTAGCCTATGTAAAGTAATAATGCACAAAACAACCAACATATACTTTCATTGGTATTTGTTACAGTTACAATTCCATCAAATTACAATATTAAAAACAGAATAAAACACATTCCTGTTAGCTTCAGCTGAATCCTGATGGTGAGTCATGCACTTGGAACCTCCTTGTCTGTCCCCCTCAGCCTCACTCTCAGATTCTGCATCTGTCTCTCCTTCCTGCTCTGTGCCCTCATTGAAAAACAGTCTCCCCAACAAATAACTCTTCTGGCTTTCCCTCTGTCACGCTCTCCGCTTCCTGCTGGTTTTATTCATCTGGCTCTCTCTCAATGCTCCATCATTGTCTGTTTTATTTTTATAGGACTTACTGTCCTTTGCCTCTTCATTTGGATGATAACTAGAAGTGGAGAGGGGCACACAACACATCAGCAACACAGAATGTTAATATACTGTTGCTGGTTTGCTTCAGTTGTGGTAGCATTAGCTCTTCAGTTGGAAGGGGGGCCACAGGGGGGTCCAAGCTCAGGGGGGTCCAAGCTCAGTGTCACAGTGGCCCCCGTTGGCCCCCCCACAAAAAAAACTGCCACAGCTCATACGTATCAACAAGTGTGGGCTGAATGGCTGCAATATATTCCAATAGAGAAACAAATACACTGGATTCATTTGATATGAGCCATACGTTGTTTGTAAAACAACTGCTAATAAAAGGTAGCACAGCAAAATGCAGGCTGTTTATCTGGAGTGACTGAAGGTCAGCACTGGGGCTAACTGCATTGGGGTGATGCATGAAAGCTCCCAGGTGGAATTAAAGGTGTTTGTCCAGATGTTCATGAGTGAAATCTAAGAACATAATGTTTTCTGCTTCTGAAAGTGACTTCAGTCTGATTCAAAGTTGCCTCGAAGTCAGTCCGTCCTTCATGTGATGTATTCCCTGCGGCGATAGATCAGTGAGGGTGTACGTAATGTGGACCAATGAAGAATCTGTTGAGAGAAGGGCAATTAACTTTATGGGATGGGTGAAAGCGTGAGCTGTGGACTATCCCATTGGTTGAACTTCTTTGTTTCACCCACCAAATCCGGTTGACGTCACCACTGATGATGTCATGATCTTCCAGTCATTCAGGTTTAAATGACAAATGAAAGACTTGGCACAAACGTAGCAAGAGACAGACAAAAAGACAAACACGTGTTTTTGATGAATGCATTTCATGCTCTGATCATCTGGGAGGTAACTGTGGGGAAAATAGGTCACCATAGCTGCTGTCAACCCTCAAAGTCTGTTTTTAAATAAGGAAAAAGAGAAGAAAAGAAATACAGTCAGTTAATGTTCTTCATCAGAGTTTGGTTCAAGTGGAAATAAAACTTGAATTTGGTTGAAAATTTCAAAAACAACTTATGTTATCAGACTTTTGTTGCACTAAGAGAGAAGTGGGACATTAAAAATCTTGCAGACATGAAACTTCATAAATAAAAAGATGTACTGCTCTCTGCTCTGTCTCATTATAATTTCAGGATAAGGCCATTGTTTATATGAGCAGCCAGTGGCAGATTGGGATACATTCCAACTACAGTGAACTTGTTTTGTTCTATTAGTCGGTTTCCTGTTGCTGAGATGCTGATGTTGGCTCAGAGGTCAGAGGTGAAAGACAAACCTGTCAGGATATTACTGTGATGTCAAACTTCTCCCTGAATTTCCTGCACCAGGGTCCTCAACATTCTGGAGACACACAGGTTTTATTTTGCTGATCTACTTTCTTGACCCTCGGGTGCCCCCCCCCCCAAAAAAAAAACAGATCTGGGAAACCTGCTTGACTGCATATTTTTAGGGTCAGGTCTTATAATGGTCCTCTACTCATTTCATCAGTCTTATCCAGAGCACAACAATCTCAACTTACTTTGTCAGCAAATGACATATAACTATAGCTGACACATTTTGTGAATCAGTAACATTCAATTGATTTGATATAAAAACTTAATTCGCTACTTAGTTTGTGTCAATAGTATACTGCAGTATTGAAATAATACTCAGTAGAGCTCATAACTCCACCAAGACCCAACAGTAAATTCCATCAAGCAACACCAAATTGCAGTTTCCTGAATATGCCAGATTTTTTTTACATCAAGATCCATCAAGAAACTGGCAAATGTCAAAAAACGCCCAATCACGCAATGTTAATCCAAATCCAGATCTGCTCCAAAATGTTATGGGCTCTTTCTTGGCCAATGTTGCATCCTTTGACCATATCTCATACAAATCCATTCAGTACTTTTGTGTAATCCAGCTGGCAGTGAAACACATAAACAAGCAGACAGGAACAAAAAAACCTAACATCCCTTGTGGAGGCAATGAGATGCAAACAGAATTTAAGTGACGTTTCAGTTTTTTTGGACCTGGTCTGACACATAAAGGAGTTAAATGGTGACTGCCTGTGCGGGACGCTGTAAGAAGCGAACACGCCTGCGATGAGGACATCTGTACATTTGTTAGCGACATACCCTTTAGACTGGGTCATCTCACAAAAATCTGGGCAAGAGCGGAAATCTGAGAGCAGAAATTTGGCAAGCACAGACACAGCCTGAGGAAAAGAAGGAGAAAGACTTGAAGTTCAGGGCAGCCACAGTATATCTGAGCATATTTGAACTGGGGCAGTGATTATTTTAGAGAGAGGGCAGAGTTCTGAGGGACAACATTACAAAATGTTGCCATGAACTGAAGGAGTAAAGCTCTCACAATGAGAGACCACGTCTGTGAGTACAGATCAGAAAGGAACTCCACAGAGGTCACCGGAGAGTGGATTGAGAAAACAAGCACAGCTTCTGGACGCCTTTGGTACTGTGATTCAATAAACACACCACCAGGGGTCAGCTGTGAAGGGTCTGTTCCCACACTTGTAGTGGTGGAGGATCAGGCTCTTCCAGTCATCTGAGATAGATCATTCACAGCCCCCATGGTTCCCCCCTGCTGGGCCCATGACAACCAATAGGTCTCCACAAACACAGTTTATAACTAAGAAAAAAAGTTATAGTGAAAAAATATATGAAATATTATTCCAAACCTCATTTTCATTTCGCACAAGAGGTCAACGGTGGCCATAGTCTCTGTATTCCCTGAGTGATCATGAAAATATCCCTGAAACACAAAGCACATCCTTTAGCTCTGACTCATAATCAGATAGGATAAGAGAAGACTTTATTAATTGAGAAGGTAATTATTGTGTCAGCTTGCTCCAAGATCACAGTGACAGTATATTGAACAATAGTATAAGTTTGAGGCA